TACATGTAAATTGCGGGTGGTATTCACCAACGGCAAAACACCGAAACCTTGTCATACGGAAGAAGACTAGCGATTAACCGTCGGACTATTTCGCTTTTCGCTATGTTGATAATATTTCGTCCATTATGAAATCGCCTACAGAAATACATTCCGACTCGGCAATCGAACTCCAGGTTTATCACCTGATCAAATGTTATCATAATTTCTGTATCATGTCGCTGCTTTCCAAGCAACAAAGCTTTCCTCTTCAGGTAAAACGCATTTGTCGGGATTCTAGCTTCATTACACTTATGTCCTTTTGTGCTAAGCTTTCCAGCCAGATTGTTCTCTCACTGTTTCGGATCCCACGGCAGAACTCTCAGGGCACGATCCATTCAACCAAAATTTCCGGAAATTTCGGTCCAAAACTCAATGGATCGGTTCGGTCCAACCGGAAAAGTTTCGAAAAAACAGGTCCACCTTTTGAGGTGGTCCTCTTTTCCCGGTCGGACCGGTCTGAATTTTGGTTGAATGGATCGCGCCCTCAATTATTTTCGCGACCGTTTACGTACTGCGAAGCGATACGTCACGTGATTAGTGTCGAATCATGACAGGTCGAATCATGACCGTCGAATCATGTCTGAAAATCAGGGTGTATACATAGCAATGAAATCAGCTGTAAGAACGATAATCTGCAAAATGTTGGTTGCTAAACGCAACAAACCTGATTGAAATGACAGTTAAATACTCACGTTTTCGCCACAACGCCAAACAGACCAGTTTCACGTCGCCGACGGGACCACGACGGCAAGGTGGTGAGCACGAGCATGCGCAATATCCAACAAATGATGATGTCACGTCCGGTTGAAGTTGCCGTCGCCCCGAAAACGTCTCTATCTTAAGTTCCCTATAAAGTAAACAACGGCTACATTTCAAACCGGCTTATGCGTTCGTCCCTATTGCCCGCACTATCAGGACTTCTACACGATATCGACTCTTCAACTTCGATCAAATGCTGATCTATGTAGTGCACGAACATTATTTATGGAGAAGACTTTTGTGCCACATAGAAAGCGTTGAGCTCGGGGAAAAAAAGGAAAATCTGAAAAACTGAGGCCTTTCAACAGTTTGGCACGTTAACGTTTTTTTTTAAGAGTCTAATGTTACATTTAATGAGAGAGAAAGTTTTAGGCAATATACCTTGAAACGTCTCTCCGATACTTTATATAAGTAGCAGTTATCCGAATCAGTCATGTAATAGAAATAAATTATGCCTCTGAACGTTTCAGCTTCGTACTCTCGCAGAGTTTTAGTTGTTGAATTTGCATAACATGCCAAAGCTTTTTCATCCGGTAGCCGAAATAATGTTAAAAGAAATTACAAAATAAGAGTCCTCTTCTTGACGTGTGATCCTCTCCGGCTGAATTTCAATCAGTGTCAGACGGAGCTATCCACATGGATAGGAGAATCGGCAAGGTTTTGCGACACATATATTTCTAAATAATTACTCAGTATTTGAGAAAAATGAAACAAAGCCAAAGTATAAAATATTAAGTATTTTGTTGTTTCAACCTTACTAAGCTATGTGTCGTTTAATATGCATTGCTTGCAAATTTATTTGTCAACTGGTAACTGTTATAAGCTTCAATGCGGTTATCAACATATAAGAAGCTGTAATCCATCTCCGTATCCTTTAATTAGAAGTAATTAAGACGGAATCCATCAGGAAATTGAGTAATTTTAATTTTCAGTGAACAAACCTTGTACCACGGAATAATTTAAACAATATCGCATTCTTTTTTACATTTTTCAAGGGCTATAGATTAATTAGTTATCTGTAATAATACGAAAGACTATTTCTCATGGGAGCCCGAGAAAATAAATGTCAAATTTCACAAGAATTGTGAAAACACAGGTAAAATTCTGAAAATGTCATGTGTAAGGTGTCATTTTGTCAGATTTGACATTTATTTTCTCGGGCTCTCATAAGAAATTTTCTTTGGTGTTATTACGGATAACTAATTATATCTATAGCTCTTGAAAAATGTAAAGAAGAATGCGATATTGTTTAAATTACTCTGGTACAAGGTTTTTGTCAGCTGAAAATTGAAATTACTCAATGTCCTAATGGATTCCGTCTTAATGTTTCGCGCATGTAAGCAGCTAAGAAAACGGATTAAATTTTAAGAAAACAAATTAATTTCAAGCCCTTAGAGCATCAAACGCATACAACGGCTTACATATAGTACATATATTGCGGAGCAGTTTAATTCATATTTTTCCTCAATCGCTGATAATCTGAGATCTGGACTCAGAAATACACCATCAGACTTGTCCAAGTTGGTAAACTTTGTTGAGTCTTGCAAAGATCCGGATGTGGTTTTCTCTGCTCCAGACATAACCAATGCTCACGTGCTTCAGATTATAAAGGGGATCAGTCCTCATAAGGCTGCAGGTATCGATAAAATCAGCGCCAGGTTTTTGCGTATTGCCGCTCCTATTTTAGCTCCAAGCATAGCAAGGCTTATCAACATGTCGTTTTCCACAGGAAAGTTTCCTACTCGTTGGAAAACTGCTAATGTGACACGACTGTTCAAACAAGTTGCGGCCAGTGATCCTTCTAATTATCGCCCAATTTCTCTGCTACCGGTGGTGTCAAAAGTAATCGAACGTCATATGCACAACTCTCTATATGCTTTCCTTATGGATAATAACTTGTTGTATTCTAGACAGTCTGGGTTTCGTAGGATGTACAGTACCGAGACTGCTCTAATCAAGTTAGTTGACGAGCTTTTGTTCGGCTTAGATAATAATCATGTATTCGGCATGGTCCTGGTTGATTATCGAAAGGCTTTCGACGTGGTGGACCATAAGCTATTGTTGCGCAAGTTGGAACTGTACGGTATAGTCAACCGGGAGCTTGCCTGGTGTCACTCGTACTTGTTGGATAGGAAGCAAGTGGTCCGTGTAAACGGGAGTGAGTCAAGCGAAGCATTGATGTTGCATGGAGTCCCTCAGGGCAGTATTTTAGGTCCTTTATTCTTCATTTTGTTTATCAACGATCTGCCCTTGTATACAAGTGCTCAGTTGGACCTTTACGCAGACGATACGACTGTCACCGCTTTTGCGGATGTGAAAAACTTAGCCACCTTAAGTTCATCACAGTACTCACGATCACTGGGAAAAGTTGTGTGGCTAACATAAATGGAAGTGACATAGATGTTTTCTTAAACGGAAAACAGCTCAGTAATGTGGATTGTGCTACCTTATTAGGCGTAGAAATCGACAGCAAATTGTCATTTAATGAACATATTGAGAAAGTATGTAAAACGTTAGCCTCTAGAATCGCAATACTGCGTAAGATTCGAGCCTGTCTACCTCTTAAACAGCGACTTCGGTTTTATAATAGCATAATTCGCCCTGCTATGTCTTACGCTAACGTTGTTTGGGCAAATTGCGATAAAGAGTCGGTTTATAGGGTCTCGGATTGCAAAAACGTGCGGCGCGCGTTACTTCTCATGCCGATCGCATGACGCCATCAGTTGCTTTGTTTAACAAGCTAGGTTGGATTCCGTTTCATGAGCAAAGATAGATAAATGCATAATAATGTATAAGCGAATTAATGGGTATTTGCCGAATTATCTAAATGAACACTTAATTTTGAATAATAAGCGGCACTCCCGCAACACTAGATATTCAAGCATTAATGCTGTTTGTCCTAAATATAGAAGAGAAACAGAGGGAGGACGCTCTTTCGCTGTTTCGGCAACAAGACTGTGGAATAGTACACCAATTAAAATTAGGAAACTAGATTCTGTAGCATGTTTTAAAAAGAACATGTTTGCCAAGATTTTTAAGGAACAACAATGTTTGCATCATTTTATCATTTAGTAATTTTTTTTTTTTAATATAAAAATCGAATCTTGTTTTATTTTAAATGTTTATATATTTTAGCTTACAATATTTATTAGATTGTAAATAGTTGTGTATTTTATGAGGGCCACAAGTTTATTAGCCTTTGGCTATTAGGTGCTACCCTCTTTAAATAAAGGCTTTACTTACTTACTTACTATAGACTCTATCTAAGTGTTAAAAAGGCTAGGAAAAAAACTAGAGCTAGAAAAAGCTACATAGACGGAAAATTTACAATTGTTTAAAAATCTAAATTTAAACGCAAGAAGACAGTACGTATATGCCTAGCGCCCGGCCTGTTCGTACACCCTTTTAAAAAGGTAGGTTTCAAAAAACCTTTTAAGGAAGAAGAGAACCTAATTTCGCGTGACAGAGAATTCCATAAAAAAGGAGAAGCGCGTGAAATCGCCCTAAAGCCATAGGTACGTAAGTTGTAAGCTGGTTGAACTAATTGCTGACTTTGCGCGGACCGGAGATTACGTTCAGGTACGTAGATATCAACGAGATCAGAAAGATATTTAGGAGCAAAATCATTTAGCGCTTGTATGTCAATAATAGCAGCTTAAAAATTATTTTTTATTCAACTGGCAGCCAGCGAGACTATATAAGACAGGCGTGAGTGCTCCTTCTTGGCAGTCATAAGTCACAGTCCTTGCAGCGGTGTTCTGAACTTTTTGTAAGCGTTCCATGAGGTAGGCAAGAAGACTGCATAGAACTGAGTTGCAAAATAAATCAGAGCAAGTATAGAGGTTACAAGCGCATAGAACAGAGTTTCAGCAGAACGTTGACCTTTTTGTCTTTAACGTTTTCTTTGAGTGAAAAACACTATATCGGCTTCTGTACCAAGTCGGTTTAGCTGTCTAGAAAGATAAGACTCCCACTATTGACGTCGCACACAGCACACGCAGTCAAACGTTTAATGCATGTGGACGTTTCTTGAAACAATTTGACACAAATTAGAGGTGATTATAGCTCATTTTTGCCAGGGTTAGTCATCATTTTTTTTTTAATTTACTTCTTGTCTTTTTTCCTGAAAATATGTAGGTTACGCTCTGGCTAATCACGTGATTGCTACATATATCGGTATCGCATGCCCTCTAGACTGCTCAATGGAATGCGTAGCTGATGTTCGCTGTCAATCCTTCAACTGTGCTGAGTCTGGAAATAAGTGTGAATTAAATGACCAACGGAGGGAAACTAGACCAAGTGACTTTGGTACCAGAGAAAATGCCACATACTTTGGTCCCACGCCTCAGCAAGTGAGTTATAAAAGCTTTAATCGTAGGCCGTTTCCAAGTTCCACAAACTCTCACTTTCAAAGCGAGGCTAAGTGCCAAACCTTTCATGCGAAAATGAGTTTCATTTGAATAAGACTAAAAAATTATTTTCGTCTGAATCGCTTGGCACTTAGCCTCGCTTTGAAACAGAGGCTTGGGGCAACGCAGAAATGGCCTTCCTTTCTGGAACTGGACAACGCGCGCCGATCTAAAAATCGATTGACCAATGACAAGCGGCAAATTGACAGCGAAGTCGGGTTGAGTCCTTTTCGCGCTCTTTCGCCTTCTTTTTGACGTTGCGTTGTCTCTGCTAAATCTGTCTGATATCTTTCACAAAGGCCATTTAGAACCAAACAATAAAAGAAATTCTACACTTACTGTACCTTACATACTCACGTGCACGTAACGTGTTCTTCAGGGACCACTCAACCTCGTCCCCAGGGCGCTTTTCCCTGGCTTTGGAGGTGGGACGGGAAAGGCGCCCTGGAAACGAGGTTGGGGACCACTGACTTCTGTTCCTAAGGTAGGTAGGTAGGTAGATTTTTTATTTAAAACTCGGTAAAATCTTCAGTAATAATAGAGTAAAAATCTAATCACAATTAATTAGACTAAAAACTATCGACATACTGTTTTACAAGACTGCCGAGTGAGAGTCCGACGACTCAAATACATGTTTGATTTGCTCTTTAAATTTCCTGACTGATTTAGTTTCTCTCACATTTTCGGGTAAAGAGTTCCACAACGAAGCACCGCTGTAACTGAAACTTCGTTTCAAGTAGTTAGTACGCGGCCTGGGCAACGTCAATTTATGAAAGGAATTGCGCAAATCATAGTCTGTGCTTCGTTCGTGAAATAGGTTCTGCAAGTACACTGGAGCTTGTTCATTTAGAGATTTAAACATCATTATTGCTTTATGCTTCTTTCTCCTTATAACTAATTTGTCCCATTTGAGTATATCAAGAAGCAGGCTCGAGCTAGTCCCATAGTTGGCCTTTAAAATTACTCTAGCTGCACGGTTCTGTAACTTTTGTAATTTGTCACTCAGTTGATCACTTAAGCCATCCCAAACAAGGCTACAGTAATCAAAGTGAGGTTGAATTAAGGAGTTATAGACTAGTACCGCAGTAGATTGGGAGATAAGGGGCCTAATACGTCTAAGGGCACCTATAGCCGAAGTTACCTTCTTACACAATTCGTTAACATGATTAGACCAGGAAAGCCGATTGTCAATAATGAGACCTAATGATTTTGCGTGATCAACATTGCTGATAACTTGGTCTTCTAGTTTGATGTTTATTTCGTTATGGCTTTCCCCAGGTGGTCTCTGTAGAGTAGTTTCATTGTATTAACCCCTGCTTTCCTGAAAACCTGGTCAGGAAAATGTGGTTTTTTATCGTTTTCGGTAACAATAGCACGTTTGTTCATCTCCGCCGTTTGTGATATATGTCCTTTCTATCAGGAGGGAACTGGAAGCGGTTGCATGTCGGTCACTTGTCAACATGGTGGAACATGCGTAGACTCGTGCTGGAATCCCCAGATGTTCACCTGTGAGTGTCGCAAAGATTATGAAGGAGTTTTCTGTGAAAAGCATAGCGGAGGTAAGGAATATCTTTATTATACAAATTTGCTCACATATACGCACCAAATTGGTAAAGATATCCAGTTTCCAAACTGGATATGATCTCCGATCCGAGAAATTTGAACTCGTCAGTATTTGACAATATTCTAACCTACGACCGCCCAGGCACCAAGCGAGCGCTCTACGTACAGAGAGACTCCTTCTCGAGAAGGGATAGGCTATTTACTGCTGGGCGTTATATATGCGACACGTGTCATGCATACTGTAACAAGGTAATGTAGAAAGCGCAGTGATGAATAAAGATGGAAAATCCGATTTCTAAACTCGGTAGTAAATAAGTAAGTGGGGCAGAGATAAAGAATCGTGAATAACCGATACTTTCTTACCGTAGGGTGATTTAACATATAGACAGAATCGGGTCTTGTTCACTTAGAAAACTTCCACTTTATATCGTTGCAGTGAAAACTTGTCAGGAACTGAAAACGCTAGGCGAGAATCTTGACGGTGTTTATGATATCAATCCCGATGGCCAGGGAATCATCAGTGTCTTTTGTGACCAAACGACGGACGGTGGTGGGTGGACTGTGGTACAGAGACGCTTCTCTCCATACATTGCCAACTTTGAACGAGTCTGGCTCGAATACAAAAACGGCTTTGGCGACCTTTCCGGGGAATTCTGGCTTGGCAATGACAACCTGCACCAACTCGCTGCGTCCTCCAGCGTTCTCCGAATCGATTTAACAGCAAACACCGGACAGACGGGTTACGCCAAGTATGGTGGTTTTACAGTGGGGGACGAGACGACCAAATTTCGGTGGGATATGAACTCATACCAAGGCAACATTGGAAATAGAGTTTATGGACATTCTCATGCCCCCTGGAATACACGTGGAATGAAATTCAATGCAAAGGATGCTGATAATGATAACAGTCCAGACACCCATTGTGGTGCTTATGCTGGCTGGTGGTTCAACTGGTGCGGTTTGGTAAACCTTAACCAACAATCAGAGCCGCACTGGAATGGATGGGGTGCAATAACATTATCCGAGATGAAAGTCAGAAAGAACTGACAGAACCCTAGCCTGAGAAAAGAGCCGACATTTCGCGATGCGAACACTGGTTTAAAAAGAAGCAACTTTTTAGAACATTTAGCTAAAAAAATGCGTAAAAACTTTTCTAGAAAACATTCAAAAAAACACTGGCTTCCCCGCTAAATGACGCCTCAGGAAAGAGCGCAGAAATTTTATACTGATGACGTGTCATTACCTAGATCCTGATTGGTCGTGCCACGAGAGAAATTTGCTTCAACCAATCAGAAGCACTACTCGACACGTCATCAGTATGGAATTTCCTCAGACGTCATCCCGCGGGGAAGCCAGTGGTGGTGTCGCGATAAGATGGCTGCTTTCTTGGTCTAACAAAACTCAGAATTTGTTGATTTTCAATCACTCATTTTCGTCTCTTTAACTAGTAAATTCCAGTCTTGAGCGCCCGCTTATGCCAGAGACGATAGAAGAATAACTTTGGTAGTCGTCGTCATAAGCTATAAACCAAACACTTCACCTCTGGTTGAAGCTATGAGTTCAAGTCTTCCAACACCGCTGTTGAACTCAATTCATGAATTATCCCATTAGAATACATTTGAAAGGTATTGATTCTTTATTTTTGTGGTTTTCGGCAACAGGCGTTCTTATCGTCTGAAGGTGTACTGTCGTGCTGCAGTCGAGCTAGAGTCCAGCCAGCTTAGCAACAGTGGCGGCCCCAAAGATTTCTCTGGTTGAAGCTGTGAGTTCAAGTCTTCCAACACCGGCTCAGTCCCCCGACCAGGTATGTGTGTCCACTTTTTATCGAATGCGCATAATTAAGCGAAGAAATGGCGCCCTTCTTGCCCTATGCACAGTTCCCCGACGCGTGTGTCTTGATGCGCAACTAGGCCTAGTAAGCTCCCGCAAAAACTACTGGGATTGTTACTGAGTGAAGGGAAAAAAATCGGATTGACCAATAGATGATCAGTGCGTCCCGAGTGACGATCCCAAAATTCTTTGTGAAAACTAACTCGGTCCAGTTTCTTTCTACCGTTTCTAAAGTGGCGAATGGCCGGGGCTGGAGACTGAGCCTATTGTTACCCAGTGTCACAGTTATATAGGTATCCCCATTGCCAAAACCCTGGTGATATGGGGATCCCCTTCTCATGTTATATTAGCGAATTGGGTTTGGGTTAGCATTACACTATATCACTAGGGTTTTGGGAATGGGGATGCCCGAAACGCGGGGATGCCCATATCACTGTAACATCAGCGCTAATCTTTTGTGGCATTATAATGGGTTGAAGGATTTTAGAATAACCTACACAGTTTGTCATAACTAATGCAGCATCTTGTTAAAGAGTGTTTTTACTTCACCTGTGAAACAGATAATGGACTATAACGTAATATCACACTCTAACTCCACTGTTTCCTTTTGTTTGTTTTTTACTATTTGGCAAAAAATGTAGACTGTTTCACAGGTCGAGTAAAATCACTGTAACAGCCGGAAGAGCCGCAGCGTTTAGTAACTTTTTTCAATTGTCAGTTGACATTATGACCCTGTTTTCCAGGCTCCGAGATAACTGAGAAAGCGTCAAACATTAAAATAAAAACCACCGCCCCCTTTTCTTCTGCGTCATCCCCACTATCTTAGAACCTGGAACAGGCTAGTATTGAGTAAAGCAGCTGGCAATCTGCAAAAGTTGCAACTTCACAATTCTGGAAGGACCTTTTTTTATTATTAAACGTAAAATAGAAACTTAACTGTACAAATAACGGACAATGGATGTATCCACATGGGGTAATAAAATAACTGGAACACATTGGTTGCGTTCATTAAAGAATAGACCACTCCAGGAAAATACCATAACATACCATAATGCTCTTTGTTTGTCACCCCAAAATTTTGCGTAAGCATTGTTTTCAGTTTCTCTTCGGGTAATTTTAACCCCCAAGAGAAACTGAAGACAATACTTGTGAAAAATTTCGGGGTGCCAAACAAAGAGCATCATAGTATGTAATGGTATTTTCTGGAGTGGTCAATTTTGTTTGATATAAACACATTAGCAAAAGCAGAGTGGTATATATTACTTTTTCTTTAAAACGCTCTCTGTCAATGGTATCAAAAACACGTGAATAGTTGTCTCTCTAGCGCACCTAATCGACAGGCTGTGTGGGGGACTAAATATAATATTCACGCTGAAAGTTTGCTGTATAATTACAGCAATTTCCTATTCCTTTCACTTAAAGCGTCAGGAAATTTAAGATAATGCAGTTCTATGAAATACTGAGTCACCAACGCGCTAAAAAGAGGTAATACCAGTACCAGTTTTTCACTACACATCGGCGATGAGATACGCTTTAAAAAATATCTTTCGTTTTTTCAGAACAGTTCAGTAGCCATGGCTTTATTTTGTTGCACGCTTGCGACTCATTATTCATGCGACACCTTGTCATACAACGTTATCTCCGTACGGGTTACTATTCATAAGCAAGCTACATGGCATCATTTTGTTCTGTTCGCTCTGTGATATCATAAGGGTCGATTTTGAAGGAATAAATACGAGAACGAGCAAAAGTGAAAGGAATTAGGACATCTCGTTAAAATATTCATTGTAAGCGGCTGCCGAGTACGTTGCTGCATTTAACTCTATTTAAGCGTAATAGTGCACGGGTCACTAAATGGTCCAAGACGTCCCATTTCATCCGTGCCGCGCACTGCAAAATGATACTTATTACCAGGCAAAAACTGAGTCAGCGTGCATGCCATGGGAAGAGGCAAGGCCTTTACAACACCGATCTTTTTCCACTGATGTGGGTTTTCAGCTGTGCCTCCGTCTTGCAGCGCGAACAGTTGATAGTTCATGATGGGAGCGTGCTTTTCTTCCAGGACCATGTTCCAGGACAACACAATCCCGCTTGTCACCACCGCGATGGAGACGCTGGGCTTTGGGGGCGGCTCTTTTACTTGTGCCGAGGGTGAAGACCGCACGATAGCAGGAGGCGGAGGCTGCTGTACTGCGGCTGGTTGCATTCCACCCGTGGCCGGAGGAGGTTGTCTTATTGACACCGTGCCATAATTGGGTTGAGGATGCGCCGCGATGGCTTGTCTCGGGGGTCCACCTACCGATTGGTAACGCGCTAAATCGGGCTGCTGCGGTTGAGGGGACCGATGCTGTTGGTTGATTGCGTGGGGAGAAGACTGCATCTGTACCGGAGGGCCCGCTCTGATCTGGATCGAGGGGCGAGGAATTTGGGCATTTTGTTGCTCTGGTCGCATGGGCTGCTGTTGTTGCATGATGCGTTGCGGTGGTGACGCTTGGAGTGGAGACTGCGGATACACAGGAGTCCTGTGACTGGGGGAAATCTGGGGAGGTACTCCCTGGAGATGTTGGGATCCCTGAGGTCTAACTTGTGGAGCTGAAGCAAATCTCGGCCCAGGTGGACCGCTGTTGTAGGCGTTTTGGTTAGCATAACCGTAGGACGGTGGCTCTTGCTGGACGCGCACAGAGGTAACACTAGACGGAGTCTGAGTTTGCGGATGAACTGTCACAGTAGGCAGAGGGCGGCTTGATGGGGGTGCTATACTCCTAGGTCCCCCCGGACTGACAATAGGTGCTTGCATTCTCATAACAGGCCGAGGTGGTTGTGCGCCGAGTGTGGGAGCTCTTACAGTCACGCCGTTAAGTCGAGGATGAACTGAAGAGGAGAGGTTTGGCCCCGGTGCAGACGCTCTGTTTCCTCCATGCTGATCTGGTTGTTCAGATCTCCCTGCTGGGCCAGGGTCGTAATTAGGAACATATGACACGCTGGGTTGTGGGATACGAGGAGAAGTGCCAGGAATACGAGGGCGCACAGGTTCCGCAAGTGGCCTTTGGAGTCCAGGACGGTAGCTGAGTTGGTTATTTTCATGACGAGAGGGTACGGTATGACCCGGTAGGGGTGCTACGGTGGAGGTAAGGCGAGGTGTTGGTGTAGTGGTAAAAGTAAGCCCCATGCTGCTTGGTCGGCTGACTGTAACAGTGCTTTGGAGAGGTGTCGCTGTGACAGCCTTAGTACTGCGTAGGTTGGTCAACTATAGAAAAAACACATTTATGTTAGTCGAACGTACTTTAAATGGACCAAGCCACGAAGCCACGCCCACCCACTTCTCGTAGGATTACATTTTATGTCTGGGAGCTATTGCACTCACCCTTCAGGAGGGTGGGGGGCTGCCCGTTCCCCTAAATACACACACAAAAATGATAGGTCCTATATGTGTTAGCCTGCGTAGCTGGCGGGATTAGCGCGTCGGAGCTGCGAGAAGAGTGGGTACGAGTCAATTTGAAATCCACCGCCAAGAAAGTACCCCGGGCACAAGAATCCCGCCAGCCACGCAGGCTATAAATGTGAGGGGGCCGTATAAAGTACTAAACAATGGGCTATTGACCCAGAGGCCATGAGGGCGAGAGGAATAATTGTTTTATTAAAATCCAATTAGTTGGTCAAAAATATCGAGACAAAATAACGTTAGCTGGTTAAAGCTAGACTTTAAGCCTTTTATGCCGCCAAAAAGCCGGCGCTTTGCGCTACTAGTGGGCTATAACATATAAACTAGTAGTAGGTCAACCAATAAGAGCGCAGCATAGATAATAGACCACTAGTTGGATTTAACTAAAAATATATATGTGACGGGGGCCGTATAAAGTACTAAACAATCTTACCCGAAAATGAAATATCGATCGTAACAACTTTGTTCTCAGCAATTGAAAAATAAAAAAAATGGAGAAAGATGACGTATTCAACATGCCACGAGAGTGGGACGAAGAACAAATCTGAGTCCCTGAGGAGATTTAAACCCCTACTGACCCTCCAATTCAATCTCTGAGCTACGCCGGAACTCATGATAACCTACAATAGGCCATTTACTTGACCCTTACTTATTAGCTTTATCAACGGTACGCGTGGTATTGGCTCGTTGTTGAGTAGAAAAGGCAATTTCCACGATGACGACAATTGACTACAACCACCAGAATTCATTTAGTTTTTGCATTCTTATTTAAATT